TGTGATATTTTCATTTGAAGTAGAAAGTAAAACACACACACACACACACACACAAATATATCTATCTTTTCTATACTGATTTAGCAACAGGACTCCTGGTGGTGTAGTGCGTTGTGTGTTAGGCTGTTAACTGCAAGGTCGCAGTGCAAAACCACTCTGCTCTATGGGAGAAAGGAGGCTCTCTACTCCTGCAAAGATTTACACTGTCAGAAACACACAGGGGCAGTTCAACTCTGTCCTATCGGATCACTGTGAGTCGGAATTTACTCAGTAGCAGTGAGTTTGGCTTTAGAGGTTTTTGCAATGAAGAGCATCACTGTACACAAATAGTTCTTGGAGAGGACCATCAGCATTGGGCCCATTTCCACAGCGAGTTCTTGCATGTAGGTCTTAAATATACAATGAGAAAATCAATACACACACAGACAACGTAAGTATGTGCATGCAGCAAGAGCACACACCCTGTGTTTTCTAGCCCTTTTAATATTTAAAATTATTCTGGAGGCTGAGACAGCACACAAGTCCCTGCAGCTCCTCCTTGACTGGAGTCGCCTGGGCACACACGTACCACACCAGTGTAGTGTAGCCACCTACATTACTAGCCTACATGAGGCTAGGTCAATCTTTTTATGCCTCAGTTTCTCCCATCTGGAAACGTAAAGAAAATAATACCGCTCGAGAAAGGTCTCAGAGAGAAGATAAAAGAGATAATTATAGAGCCTCGACAAATCTGAATTCTTTATGGAGAAGAACTATATAAATAGAAGGGGTAATTACTGCTATTCAAACACAAAAGTCAAAATAAGGCAAATCTATTAACATTTATGAAATAAAATCCCAGGCAGTTTATTTTTCGTGGCATAAGATACATTGATAGGTCAGCAAATCAAATTCAAAACAATATTGGAAGTAAGGTGCTCTTTTATCTAGGTGCCTAATCTTACTATAAAACAGAAACAAGGTTCTTAAAGAAACATACAAATGGGGAGCTAGTCTTTTTTATACTACTTTTTACTTCAGGGTCACAGTGAGACCTCAACTATTCATTAGACTAACTTAATTTTGCCTGGACTGACTGATGTTCTTTATATGTGGAATGTGAACATGAGATGGAACGCATTATGGGTTAAATATGTTCCCCCCAAATATGCAGTGCAAATCCTAACTTCTAACTGCAGGGTCCAAACCTACCAGCTGCCCTGGGGGAGGAGGCAGCTACCTGCTCCCATAGAGATCGACCCTGTATTAACTGGCTATGACTAAGAATCAATCCAGCGGCAGGGCTTTGTTTTTTGAGTGTGTGTGTGGGGTCCATGTCTGTGGTTCTAATCCTACTTGATGGTTTGTCTGTGTTTAGTTAATGAGGAAAATTCAGGGTAGAATGTGTTTTGAGTAGACTTCTTTTGAGTTACAGAGGAGATTAAACAGAAGAGATGAGTGAAGGTGGGTGCCAACCACAGGAGATCTCCAAGGAGCCAGAGAGCAGGGGCAGAAGAGACAAGGCCCTTATCCGGCAGCCCACCCAGAGAGGAAGCCTCCCCAAAGACCAATGCTCTGAATTCAGTCTAGTCCCCTCATCTATTGAGAAAGTTAATTTCTGTCTGGGAAAGCCCCCGCTTGGGATTTTTGGTTATAGCACCACTAGACAAGTAAGACAGAACCCAGAGGGGAATTTTAAAATATTTCTCCTGAAGATCACAGGGCACCATCGTCCTAGGAGACTTCTTACATATTTTAAACATGTTGTCAGAACAAGGAGACGCATCCTTGGAGAAAGACATCATGCTTGGTAAAGCAGAGGGACTGACCCCGTAGCTGTAACATTGGGCTCCAGCATAGGAACTATTGTGAGGATGACCTAGGACCGGGCAGTGTTTCGTTCTGTTGTGCATAAGGTCACTATGGGTCAGAACTGAATTGATAGCACCTAACAACAACAACAACAACAACAACAACAACAACAACAACAACAACAACAGCAATGACAGGCAGCTCCAGTTCTTATACTCCAAGAGAGAATGTATTATTACTTGATACAAGCACACATTTTTTTTCTAAACTAACCTTTCTCTACAATGACCCTGTAGGACAGACTAGAACTTCTCCTGTGGGTTTCTGAGACTGTAATTCTTTATGGCACTAGAAAACCTCATCTTTCTCTGAAGGAGTGGATGGTGGTTTTGAACCGCTGACCTTGCAGTTAGCAGCCTTGCACTTAGCGTAACCCAGTATACCACCATGGCTCCAACAAATATTTATAGTTCCACACAGTTTATAGACCTATGTAAGGTCACTATCCGTTGGAATGCATTATTTGGCCTTGAGTTTGGCTTTTGGTATTTACTCCTTCTTTCCCCTTTAACAGCATTCCTTTCTGATCATCTGCCACCATGACCAAGACAGCGGCCTCGGCAAAGAAAGCCGTGTTCAATAGAGAAAGCCACCATGACTCCACGCAGGCGCAGTGGCAACTAACAATAACCTGCCACTTAACGAGATAACCAGAGCTAAAAGGAGCCTAAGAAGGCTAGGTTTCTTGAGCACCCACTATGGGTTAAAACACCATGCTTGAGTATGTTAGATGGAATATTTCATTACGTTCTCCCAACCAGGGTTTAGGTTTTATCTTCATTTTATAGACAAAGGCACAAAAAGTTCAAAAAGGTTAGCTTTACCCTAAGGGACAGCTGGTTAAATGAAGGATTTGGAGTCATGAAGAATGTAAGTAAGGTAAAATTTTTATCAGATTACTTCAATAAAAAACTGCGTCTGCATTTACTTCAACTAGACCAGGAATACATTGTTTTAAGAATTTCCTGTTTTGCTGATAGTGCCTGATTTAATGATTTCTTTTGAGTCCCTTTGGCAGAGTGGCACTTTAAAGGAGCCCTGCTGGGGGAGTGGTTACCAGTTGGGCCGTGACCTACGAGGTCAGCACTTTGAAACCACCAGCCTCTCCTTGGGAGAAAGATGAGGCTTTTCAGTCCCGCGTAAACAGTTTCAGTCTTGGCAACCCACAGGGGCAGTTCTACCCTGTCCTACAGGGTTGCTGTGAGTCAGCACTGACTTGATGGCAGTGAGGTTTGATTGTTTGTTTGTTTGTTTTTCCATAGCAGGGTGAACCACGAAGGGAACATAACAGATCAGCAACAGGAGCAAAGCCAAGCCACAAAGCCCCTAAAGAGCCCCCAAAATAGACTTCAGGCTAGAAGGGGCAATTTCTGGAATTCCCCCAGGACCAGTGGGGAGATAGTCATAGAGGTCAGTGGACAGACCTGGAATTATATATGCTTTTTCTCTTCAATCTTTTGTTTTACTTTTGTTTGGTCTCTGTTATTGTTGGGTTTCCTACTGATGTAAGACAGGCATAGGAAGCAAGCTGGTGGAGAAAGCAACGGGACCAATGATCTCGGAGGGACTTGCAGGGAGAAGGAGGCCGGGGAAGGGTATGGTGAGCAAACAACGCCATAGACAGGGGAACAACTAGGGAATTACAATCAATAGCAAGGAGGATGTGGAGATCCTGGGTGTATTGGAGCAACAGTAATCTAGCTGAGAGGAAGTACTAAGAGGCGGAAGTGGGGCAAGCATGATAGTGGGACAGGAGGAAGGTAACAGGAAACAGGAACGATCTAGGACGCAAAGCTACGAATAGAGGAAAAAGCATAGTTGTCTATATATATAAATACATTAATTCATAAAAATAGAGGCACTGGCCTATGTACATATATTTATACAGCAATACACTGAGGGAGTGGATGGACTTGGGGCCTCTGCTCATAGACTCCCTCAATACAATGACACCTTGTTCTAACAAACTGGCATTCTGTGATGCTCACCCTTCCAGTACAATCGCTGAAGTCAAAATGGGTGCAGAAGCAAATGTGGTGAAGAAAGCGGATGGTGCATGTCTATTAAAAGATATAGCATCTGGGGTCTTACAAGCAGTCATCTAACAGAGAAGCCACAAGCCCACATGGAAGAAGCAAACCCCCAGGGTGATCACGATGTATCGTGGGGACCAGGTAACAGGCATCAGAAGACCCACACCAAACAAACACACATTCGCTGAGAACAAGGGGGGTGGGGTGGAGCAGAGGCCCAAAGCCCGTCTGTAGACAATGGGACATCTCCCACCGAGGGGTCACAGGAAAGGGATGAATCAACCAGGGCGCAGTAAAACTCCAATGAAACATACAGTATTCCTCTGATTCCTTGAGGTTTCCTCACCCCCTACGATCATGACCCCAGTACTGCCTCTCACTTCGAACAAGTCCGGAGCATGTACACAGGCACAGAATAGAGGTAAGAGCTCACAGCACACGGAACCCAGGAACAGGAATGGGAATACTGATACCAGAAGGGTAGTGGGAAGGTGGGGGGAAGGGGAAACATCACAATGATCGACACATAACCACACCCCGCCCCTTCCAGGGGGACAAACAACAGAAACTATGGGGAAGGGAGATAGTGGTCAGTGTGAGATATGAAAGTAATAATAATTTAAAATTTATCAAGGGGTCACTAGGGTGGTGGTGGGGGGGTAGGGAGGGAAAAGAGGAGCTGATACCAAGGGCTCAACAGAAAGTAAATGTCTAGAAAAGAATGATAGCAACATATGTACAAACATACTTGATACAGTTGATGTATGGATTGTTGTAAGAGCCTAAAATATAATAATCTTTTAATAATAATAAAAAATTGGGGAAAATGAGGAGCTGATGCCAGGGGCTTAAGTTGAGAGGAAATGTTTTGAGAATGATGAGGGCAACGAATGTACAAATGTTCTTTACACAATTGATGTGTGTATGGATTGTGATAAGAGTGGTATGAACCCCCAATACAATGATTAAAATTAAAAAAAAACATTTAAAAAACCCAACTCTCAAAAGTATTTGGTAATGGTCTTGTGCTAGATTCTGTATGAAGATAGGCATTTAGACACTGGACGTAAAGTATCACCTACTAGTCATTCTAAAGAAACATGGCAATCAACATACCTTAGCATTTAGAGGACACACAGACAGGGCACTTCTGAAAAGCTGTTCTTCGCTCCGCCACTCCGCACTTCGAACCATGCATCTCAGCATGTTTAGGATTAAAATTCCCAGTATGAGAACAGCAATTAGTTTCTTAAGAAGACAGACAACATAGATATCATTAGTTAGAATCCAGCCAAGAATTTTGGTCAAAAATGGCACCTCATTATTGCCTGGAAAATCAATGCTCGTGGAAGCAGCGGTTAAGATCAATTGACACATTGCACTGTACGGGGTACTTCTGCTGCACAAGAACTCTTTAAAGTGTTGCAATGCAAGGATGCTACTTTTGCGGTCTAAGCTGCACCTGACGCAAGCCAAGGCATTCTCAATGGCCTCAGACACATGTGAAAGAGGACACTGACTAAGCAGGCGGAAGAAGATCGGGTGCGTTTGCACTGTGGTGCTGGAGGACAATACTGAAAGGACCAAGGACTGCCAAAAGGACAGACAGATTTGTCTTGGAGGAAGTAGAGCTAGATGCTCCTTAAAGGCAAGGATGGCGAGACGGCGTCTCCTGTGTTTTGGCCATGTAATCAGAAGGACATCATGCTTGGCAAAGTGGAGGGGCAGCAAAAAAGAGGGAGATCCTTAACAAGATGGACTGACCTCACTGGGGCTCACGCACAGCAACCACTGAGGATGGTGCAGGCCCGGGCAGTGTTTCCTTTTCTTGGTCATGGGGTCGATATGAGTGGGAACTCACTCAATGACATCTAACAATAACAACAACAACAACAACAACAATGGCACTAAACCAAAATTTAAATAAAACAAAACGAAACCAGTTGCTGTTGAGCTATTGAGCCCATGCTGATTCAGGGTGACCTCAAGGTGACAGAGCAGGCGAGGGACTTTTCAATGGCGAGTCTCCAGAAGTAGTTAGCCAGGGCTTTCTTTTGAGATGACTCTGGGTGGATTTGAACCTCCAACCTCCCAGTTAGTAACGGAACTCTTAACCTTAAATGGCACCTCTCTTGGGTGATTACCTTTCTCTTTGTATGCTTACTGAGCGCTCCAAACGCGAACGTCAGCAGCACGCAGTAGCCAACACTGGGGAGGTAGAGGACTCTCTCCGCAACCACGAACCCCACGCGGAAGAACAGGTTACTCGCAGGAAGAAATGGGATCACGAGGAATCCCAGGCCCAGTGTAAGGATCCTGGAAAGTGGAAAATATTTAAAAGGGTTATTCTTAGACATCTTAAGAAAGAGTCCCAGCCAACATTAAATTCATGATAAAGACCCCCCCCACCCACGCCCACCCCCTTGCCCTCAATTGAGAACAGCTACACTAGTAACACGAGTAGAAGGAGCTTAGAGCGGAGGACTGGAGAGAAAGCGTGAATGGATCACGAGGAGACCAGCCATCAAGCATGTGCGTGAAACTTGGGTGTGACGATTCAGAACAAAATAAAGTGAAAATGACTATACTGCGAGGCCTTGTAAACTCAACCCACTCCTCGCCGAGTAGCTCAATGGCTACAAGGAGTGAAATCTGGTAGTGCACACAGGAAAAAAGAAAGTGTCCTTCCCACCTCAAGTGAATAACAACAAAAGACAACACTTAACTAGTTTAAGCCTTATAACAGCTCAATAAATGAGCGTCGATTTTCCTTGTTGGACCACCACACCTCTGCATCAAGCAGGAGGGAAAGCTGAGCACTGAAATGCTGCTGGAATGAATAACCATTGATTCCCAACATCCTCGTATAATGCATCTTCGGTCATTTAGAGGCCAAGTCAAATTTGGGGGTGATTCCCTGGGGCTTGGACCCAAAGCACTGTTTTTTGTTTTCACCAAATCCTACTCCACACATACAAGTGAAGTGAACTGGCGGTTTGTTGTCATCTAGAATCATGGACCAATTTAATACTGAGGTCAACTTGGAACTTAATTTGTTTTGAGAAATGTGTTTGTTTGAGAAAACACTAATTTAATTCCTTCAACACATATGCTTAAATGAAAGCGTCTTAAGTGTTTTCTCTTTCATGAAACAAACAAACAAAAAATTTTTTTATACAAGAAAAAAGTCGTGTCTTTGGGGAAGTAACTTATTTTACAGCCAACAGCAACAGAAGGAAGCACCCCAGCATTCACTGGGATTTTCTGAAAGAGGATTGGGAATAATGGGCACAATGCACATCAATTACACTCTCTGTTCTGACCATAAATTACTCTTTACCACCTATAGGGAAAAGGATCTCAAAATGCTACTTTATGGGGGGCAGGGGGCGAGGAGATGAAGCAGTCACCCTTACACCCCCCTCCACTAATTCCACTCCCCACTAGTTGAAGCCAGGCAATGAACTCCAAATCGCGGGAGCTGACCTTGCCATAAATGTGCATTTGAAAGAGATGATCTTAGACATGACTTCCACAGAATCACTGAAACGGTCAGTGCTGGATTTAGCAAAACGCCTTGGACTCAACCCAGGGTGGAAGTTAAAATTCAGAGCTGCCTCTTACCTTCTCTTGTGGCTGTCTTCAGAGCATAGGGCTTGGCATATCAGGCCAATTAGGCAGAGCCAGAGTGCTGCTAGTGCAATTATTCTCCCGTCACTGACTGACTTAATGAGGGGTATGCAGCCCATTGACCAATCAAAACACAGCCACCAGGGACACAGCAGCAGCCATGCATTCAATGAATAGTAGTAATTATAGTTTATGGCCTGTCAGTCAAAAGGAAAACAAACATTTATTTGATACCGAACTGTGAAAAATATACACATATACGTATATATACATACATATCCTAATTTTACTTTTGAGGACCCTTCTGTTGAAGGACAGAAGCTGTATACAATAAAACCTTGCCTACTTCTCTCTTAAGTGTAGGGCTGGAATTCGTAATTTGTTAAAGGTATTCAGATTGTAATAGATCAAAACAGAACAAAGCCACCAGACTAGGCCATGAACCTAAACCAAACTCACTGCCATTGCGTCAGTTTTGACTCAAATTTGACGGTCCTACCCGATAGGACAGGATGGGACTTCCGCTGTGGAGTCTAGCACTGCACATCTTTGAGAGAAGAGAAAGCCTCATCTATTCCCTTTGGAGCAGCGGGTGGTTTGGAACTGCTAATCTCACCGTCAGCAGCCCAAAGTGTAACCACTATGCTACCCAGGCTCCCGGACAAGGCTATATGTGGTATGCTTGTTGTTGTTAAATTATGTCTCATTTACTTAGGGATGCCCCATATCTGTGGCTCAGGAAATTGGTAGCCTGAGGGTCACCTGTTGCTCTTGAACACATCAGAGCAGCATTCAAAAACTAGCCTCCTGATTTCTATTTCTGTGACACAGCTAAGAATTTGTGGCTCAAGTCCCTTGCTGAGTTAGTTAATTGTGCCAGCCTGGCCGATAATCACATGTGGGGCTGGTTGAAAGGCGGAGGGATAAATGGGTGGTGAAGCCTCGCCTTTCTAGTTCTCGGGTCTCTTGTTTTGTGATGGTTGCATCGGGTGCAGCTGCCTTAGCAGTTCCCTGCTTCAGCTTGCAAGATTGACTTCCTCCAAGACATCCCCAAGGAGAAGCCGCATGGATCTATCCCGATGCAGCCCTGGGTGCTGGAGCAGCCGTGTGGAGACCCTTGCCAGTGCTGAGATGCTTACACGTTCACGGACTCAGCTTTCCTCCTGCAGTCGGCATCATTGCCTCCGTTTTGTGAGGTGGAGGACTTTGTGGACTGGTGTTGGGTTAATGGGTTAATGTTGGACTTGTGGGCTTGGGCAGCATTGGGTTGGGATGTTTTTGTGATGCACCTTTTCTTTACATAAAACTCTCTTTTATATGTGAGTCGCCGTGGATTTGTTTCTCCAAAGTACCTAGACTAATACACTTGCTGTTAGCAAAAACATCTTTCAAGAATCAAGGGGGTCCTGACATCATGACCTATTTGAAGTTACATCGGAAACTTGACATTTGTCTTAACCCTGCCACATCACTTTCCTCTAAGACACAAGCAATAGCGTTAGGAGACAAAGTAACAAAATAGGTAGGAAACCTGACCTTGGAAGGAACTTTTAGCAATTACAAAAGAAACACAAGGAGTTCAGCCCCTTCTCAATCCCTTCTCAGTGGTAAAAACCTGGTTTCTCAAAGGGTTATCACTCAGCGATAAAGAGAAATCAGCCCTGGTGCATGCCACCCCGTGGAAGAACCTTGATGATATTACATGCTGAGAAATACGTCAACCGCAAAAGGACAAATACTGTCTGATCTCACCTATATGAAACAATAATAGTCTAGAATCCCAGGTTTGTTAGTGATAACCCGGGGCGGGAGGGAGCGGAGAAGGCAAAGGCGGTGCCCTTTCGAGGGGAGGTAGTGAGTTTCTGTTTCGGGTAAGGGGAGAGCTGCCGTGAACAGATGATGGGTACACAACATGGTCAGTGTAACTTTTCCCCACAATCATAAAAGAAAATGAAAGTCTGCTTTCATCCTAGAATAATGCTGAGTAATAGCAAACCACGATTAAAGTCTGTGGGTGGTGGGCGCTGGAGATGAGGAGGAGGGATGAAAGGGGACAAGACAGCCCAAAGGGGAGGAGATCTAGAACTCACCCGGACCACCACACTGTCGGCAAAAGAGGCCGGGTTGTCCACCTCTGTAAATGCTGGGGGGCCCGTGCCCATGATTTTCCAGCGCACATATAGCATGATGGTGCCCCCCAAGGTCAGGAGAGTCATTCTGAAGAGAAGGCCCCCGTTCCTGAGCACGCCAAAGTTCTGGAAGGAAACCACAGAGCCACTGATGCCGCAGATTTTCAAATATAACCTTGGCCATGCCAGGTACAAAAATATAGTCATTCTGCCAGAACGACTTTGACATTGTGCCGTACAGGGCTGGGCTATTTTAGAATTCAAAGTCACCCGGCATACTTGGAAAGTGGCATTTGAAATCAGCTTGGTATGTGACAATTTTTGATGTCTGAGCTGGAAACAAAGGCTATACTCACCTCTAAGCACTTGTCTTTGTGAAGTACCTTCTGGACAATTTCCAGAATGTTTAATTTGCCAATCACCAAGATGTCAAACACCGCATTCAAACCCTAAGGAGGCAAAGCAAGGCAACCAATGGTGGGAGAGCTTCACAATTATATGTCACAATTTTACTAAAGAACCTGAATCTATACAAGAAATGGAATCGATGAGATAACCACAGAAGATCTCTCTTCAGCTCTAAAATATATACCGTACACACTCGTGTATAAGCCGAGTTTTTCAACACATTTTTAATGCAGTTTCTGTGGTAAAATTAGGTGCCTCGGCTGATATTTGGGTCAGATTATACTCGAGTATATATGGTATATGGAGTTTCTATGAAATTAGCTCCTCAAACACTATCTAGTAAATTTATGTTAGTAATAATTTTATAATGTGCATATCATTCATCTCAACTCATTTCATGGCCATTGAGTCAATTCTGAATTCATAACCAACTCTGTAGGTCAGAGTAGAACTGTCCCTGTGGGTTCTGAGACTAGGGTAAGTCTTTATGGGAGCAGAAAGCCTCCTCTTTCTCCCAAGAAGTGGCTAGTGGGTTTGAAATGCTGACCTTATGGTTAGCAGCTCAATGCACAGCCCAATACATCATCTAGTAGTTAGGAATTTGAGTCCTCACACCCCACCCCCAAATGCCCTAGAGGTGCCTGTTCTCTCTTTTCACCCTAGAAATACTTGTTCTCCACTGCCCCCCTGTCCCCCTTTTGATAACTAGAAAACACTATTTCATATAATAGAGTAGCTACCTAGGAAGTAATTATGCCTAAGAAGATAAAAGCAGCCACCAACCTCAACAAATCCAGCCACACATGTAATTACACCACAAGAAACGCAAGTTCTGACTGATTCAGCCAAGTCTGAAGGGTTTCGTGTAATTGGGAGAATATACAGAATACTGTGTCGTGGAGCATTGGTGATCTCTGAGGCCAACACCGAGCTGTTCATGTTGTCTCTTTGTGCTGCTAGACAGCTAGGTTGCCTCTCTGAGCCTCCCTGCAGTGAAGGATGACCACATGCCTGCGTTCCAGCCTGTGGACTTGCAGCGAAGTCAGAGACAGCGACGGGGAGTTCTGCTTGTAAAACCTGGGTATGCTCTACCACTTGACTTGCCCCTTCTAGCAGGCAGCCGACGGAGGTGATGGTGATGAGCAGGTGGCCTCTTGGAGAGCCACCATGAGCCTGAGTCACCCTGCCCAGGACAACCACCCCTTACCGATGTGGAGCTTTAGCTCAGCGCTGTTCAGTGCATCATAAATAACTGGAGTTACGTAACACCACTGAAACTCTGCTATTGTTGCAGTTATTGGCTTCCATTGCGCTGGGCCCTGATTCACGGCAACCCCATGCACATGCACTTGTGCCCGCCCCACGCTGGGCTGTAGACGGGAGCGCTGGGATCCACAAGGTTTTCACCGGCTGATTTCTGGAAGCAGATCGTCAGGCCTTTCTTCCTGTTCTTAGTTTGGTAGCTTAGTTAGTTGGAACTTGTTCGGCATCGTAACACAGAGGCTCCTACCGGCAGGTGCAGTAGCAGTTGCGCATGAGGTGCACTGGCCAGGTATTAGACCCAGGCCTCCCACATGAACCCCATTCCGGCACTTTCCCCCTGTCCCCCGACTGTGCTCAGCCTCTAGTGGCACCACAATTGTTTCTGCCAGCAGGCAAGGGGCCTTTGTGGCGATTACACCTATCACGACAGGCTGAAGGATCCATGTTTCTTGGGATCGATTTTCTAACCTGCAATGGGCTTCCTACAAAGATCACTGCTGCAGGCAGCCACATCTAGTGGAGAACTCCTTACCCGATCCGGATAGAGAGGTCAGAGTGTACATCGTGTAGATGGTTAAAACGGCCCCTAAATGATTTGGGTCTTCCTAATAGGGGGCTATGTGGCCAGGAAGATCATACATCAGCAGAAGCCAGTGGTAATTGGTGGTTTTCAGAAGAAGGATGACATCTCTACTTAACCCTCTCTCCATAAAGGCTGGGAGTCATTAATGAGCCACCACGCAGGCAAGCCCTGGGTTAATCATTTCGGAGAATCCCAGTTTCATTCACCCATGCGACGTGCGATCTTACCGGGTCACCGAAGACCTAATTTACCGCCTGGGTGTAAGCCATTTTCTGCATATATGTAGATGCTCCCTGTTTACTGCAGCTGGACCCTCACACTACTTACGCTTCTGCCCACGAGCTGTAGAACAGTAACCATGGGGCAGCGGGGCTCTGGGGTCATGAGAGCTGAGCTAAGCACTAGATTGGCATTCTCTGCCCCTTTCTCTTTCACTGGGTCATTGACATGTCAATCATTTGATCAAATTTCAACACTAGCCAAATGTCCACATCTTTATTCAAGCCCACGGAGCACACTTCGTCAGGCCTTCCCCGCAGTTGAAGCACACAGCAATCACCTGGGGACCACGTTGCATGGGGTTTTAGGAGGACCGGCGTGGGATCGGAGATCGTAACCGGCTCTGGGATGATGTGTGTACTGCCGGCCTCCCCACAACACTTTGAGAAGGGTTTAGAGAAGTGTTTCTCAAGAACGAGTGATTTTGTCCCTGAGAGCACATAGAGTCAAGGAAAGAGAGAGGGCGCAGGCATGTCTCTGCCTTGTGGCAGTCGGCCGTGGGCTGCTGTAGACATGGCTTCTTCTTTTCTCTTGTGAAGCCACAGGAGGTCAGGTAAGGCCTCCAGTCACCAAAGAAGCACATGCGTTGACCTGAGTGTGTAGGAAGGGGCTGAGCAGGTAGCGCGTAGAGAAGGCTGACCTCTGTGTGAGGGTGGGGACTTGCTGAGAAGGAGACAATCTCATGCTAAAACTAAGGGACGAAAAGGAGAAGGAGGCGAGGAAGGGGCTTCCAGACGGAGGGAAAAGCTCCTGCAAAGGCCTGGAGGCAGAAAGGGCTTAACGTGGGCTGGGAACAAACCGTGCATGATGAAGACTCAGAGGGAGGTCTGTGTTCTGGGTGAAGTCAATGCCATGGGGTCCATGTGGATCCAGAGCCACCCCCGTGGGTTTCTGAGACTGTAACTGTTCACGGGAGTAGAAAGCCCAGGCTTTCTCCCGAAGAGCTGCTGGAGGTTTCAAACTGCTGACCATTCAGATTGCAGCCCAATTCAGAACTGCTACACCACAGGGAGGAACTACAGAAGGGTCTTAGAGAGGGAAGGGACCTGAACGATTCTCTAAGAAGATGATTTTGGGTGTTGTGTGGAGATGGCTGGGCGGGAGGTGGGGTGGGCAAGAGAGGAATCAGAATTTGAACCGTGACTTATAAAGCACTCCTCATTAGACAAGAGTATGTACCTCAAACACACGGATTCTTCAATGAATGAATATGACTGATTTGATTAAGCGACTCAAGCAATAGTTTATCAGATTTTATTAAATAAGTGGTCTTATCACAGTATTAGAAAAAGTTATATGCCGACATATTGAACCTCTCACAGATAACATATAGGATATAGAAATTCTATATAGGATAAATATATGTTATTTATCCCGTTCGCTAGTTATATGCATATCACTACTCAGATAGTGATTTTAAAGCTGTATTTATTCAGTGGCTTCTTGATTATTTTCATTTTAAAAAACACTGCTAGGTTGCTGCTGGGAGGAAAAAAGGCAAAGGGTCCTTCTGGGGGGACAGGAACATTGTAAAGCTTGATGGTGGTTTACATGTGCCGATGAGTCTTGGTGGTATAGTAGTTATGAGCTGGGCTGTGAACTGCAAGGCCCGCAGTTTGAAACCACCAGCTGCTCCTCGGGAGGAAACCAGGGCTTTCCACTCCCATAAGAGTAACAGTCTTGGAAACTCATGGGGGCAGTTCTACCCTATCCTACAGGGTCTCAGAGATAGTATCAGCTCAACAGTAGTGAGTGTGGTTTTTGGTTTTATGCATTTGCCCAAAGTCAAGAGCCACACTTAAAATCTGTGTTTTATGTATGTAAATCACTTATTAATATTAGTAGTGATAATAATAAACTAGTAGTTCAAAGATAGTTGGGACAAAGAACCGAAACAACAAACCCAAGAGTGAAGCTCACAGCCTCAAACCCTTCCAGATTGCTAACCGCTCCGAGTGGACCAAGTGGCTACAAAAAGAAGGAAAAGTCAAACTGAAGTGGACTTGGAATCTGCAGTGAAGTACAAGTTCATTTCAAACATATGGGAAAAATGGCCAGGAAATGTCATGTTAAAGACTGGGATAGACTAAGAGATGAGACAGCTTGAGTTTCTTCACTTTCCCTGAAGTTGTAGATCTGGGTTTCACCTATCTGTCCTAATCAAAATGTACTCCAGAACACATGAACAACCAGCCAAAGAATACATATGGTGTATAATATAAAAAAAGACTTCAAGTTCCCAAATCACAATGCGTGCTGAAGGAGCAGGATTAAAGGAACTCTTTGAAAAGAAAGCGCTGTTTGAAACATGAGCACTGCCACGAGCTCTTCAAGTGCTGCAGTAAACATGGACGTTTGAATTTTTCTTCACACATTCACAGAGCGGAAATACTTCAGTGCCCGTGTTGGTGTAAGTCTCATTTACCCATGGAGATCAATTATAAAGACAGGTGAGGCTGAGAAAGAGAGAGAGAGAGAGAGCGCGCGAGCGTGCATGTGTGCACAGGAAGATAGAGGAAATGGCAGGGTGACCGTTTCTTCATTTCTAACCTACTCATTAGGAGCCTTGTGGTGTATAATGCAGGGAATTGTGTGTATGGTATTGTCTCGATCTCCCCTAAGCGCTATTTTCTTCATAATAATTTTTTCTATTTTCATTTTATTTCAGAGCATCGTAGGCCACAGAAAATCACCCCGGGGGCCGCATGCGGCCCACAGCCACCAGTTTGACACCCCTGGTGTAGTGGGTATGGTTATCGTTTGGACTGCTGAGTCCAGGGTCAGTTGTTCGAACCCACCAGTTGCTCTGCAGGAAAAAGATGAGGCTTTCTGCTTCTGTAAAGATTAATAGTCTCTAAAACCCAGGGGTGCCCTTAAAGAGTGGCTATGAGTCAGAATGGATTCAATGGCAGTGAACCAACCCACTATCTTTTTCAACTCTGGGACCTGAAAGATGACTGGGGTTAGCCTGCTATTGTTTTCAGGGCAGCTGAGAGGATCCCGGAAAACCGCAGACCAACATGCTTTTCTCTTTTTCAACAGGCCCCCTGCAAGAATGAATGGTCACTACTCCCCAAGAATTGCCCACGCCACACTCCCACCTGTTGCTAATGACAGACAACAGGTGTATCTGTTGTCACTCCCCATCCGAAATGCCAGAATGGCCACAGCCCAGAGACGTCTGTGAGTTTGGGTCAAGAACAGAATAGGGAGGCTATGGAGGCCCTGGGCCAGAGCTGGCCCGTTCCATCTGTGCAGGAGGGAGGGGGCATGTGAGGAGCGCCTTACCAGCACGGTGATCCCTTGCTCTTTGCACAGCATGGCTGCTGCTCCCAGAAGAATACTCAGCAAGACCCAGAAGGTAGAAAAATGTGCTCCCTCCTTGCTACCTGCCAATAAAGTGAGACGGTAAGTGCAAAAGCCACACCATCCAGTTCAGTCTTGAGAGCATCAGGAGCTAAAAGCCGCGTCATGCACTTGCTGTGTCCATGCGTGAACAGCCAAGCTCGGCCTGTTGACGGCAGTTCTCTATGGGCACATGTGCTACACTCTTGCTCTTGTGGTGCCACCACCTCCTCTACACGGTACACACTTCCCCATTCCAGGCTCCACCTACGAGTGCCCAGAGTCTTTGGGAAGCATTCACAGGAAGCCCTGGCCACCCACACGCCTCCGCAGCACAGTCTTCATGGTCAAGTTCCTGACCCGTAGAGGTGGGAACTCCCACGGTGACGCCAAGCCCTGCCTGTGGTTTCCAGATGACCCAGCGGCGGCTGCTTCACTCACAGCGGCGGTATCAGGAGGGTGAGTCAGCTCTGTGCATCTCTCCTCTCCAAGGATAGGAAGCCAGGCTCTCTGAATACCCAGGGTAACTTCAGATGGGCAGGAGACACCAAAAAATACCCCCAAGCTCTCAAACTCACTGCCATCAAGTTGATGCCAACTCATATCACTACAACCTACCGGTCAGGATAGACCCTCCTCTGTGGTTTTCCGAGATTGTCATTATTGATGGGAGTAGAAAGCTTCATCTTCATCATTCTCCCATGGAACAACTGGTGGTTTCGAGCTGCTGACCTTGAGGTTAGCAGCCAAATATATAACCCACTATGCCATCAGGAAACAATTGGTGGAACAAAGGGTTAGTACTCAGGTATTAAATGAGAGGTCTGCAGTTCAAACCCATCCACAAGTGCCTGGGAAGATAGGGCTGGTGATCTCATCCACTGAAAAGCCCATGGAGCACAGTTGATTCAGTAACATGAGGTCCCCATGAGTTAGAATTGGCTCAACAGCAGCTCCCCACAGCCCAGACAGGTACCCTCTGCTACTAGTGTAGGGTAATACCAACCACTAGAAGGATGCACAGCTACTGGCAGACAGCTGTCACTTAGCACCTGGGGCAGGTGAAGGCACAGGTCAGGCTGGTGGGGGGGCGGCAATCTGCACAAGGGTTCAAGCAAGCGTAACCCCACCACCAAACCCAGCGCCACTGAGTCCATTCCAACATACATTGTCCCTGTATGATCACTGTCTACTTCCATAAACAGTTACAGAAACCCACAGGGGCAATTCCCCCGTCCTATAGAGTCACTATAAGTCGGCAGCAATGCAATGGCGGTGAGTTTTGGTCTGGAATCTTTACAAGAGCAGATCTTTTCCCATGGAGTGACTGATGGGTTTGAACCCATAGCCAGGTGGACTTGGTTTAATGAGCAGCTCAAGGTCAGGGTTAGCTTATATAATAATTGAGGGCCCGTACATTTCTTCTGAGAAATGGAGGGTCTGGTTTTATACTGTTTTGGTGACTGGTATGTATAATGTATAGGTCTCTGGGTGGCATAAACAATTTTACACTTGGCTAGAGGTGCTGTGGGCATGCAGTTGACTATCAACCAAAAGGATGGTGGTTTGATCCTACCTGCTGCTCTGAAGGGGAAAGCACCTGACAAGAGGCTTCCTCGAAGATGAAAAAGCAAGAACAAGAATCAAACACCGCCATCGAGTTAATTCCAATTACAGCCTTGGAAAGATGGTGGGCAGTTCTCCTCTACCACTGACAGCACCAACCAAACTCCCTGCCCTCGAGCCAATTCCAGCTCAGCCACCCTACAGCACAGGGTAGAACCGGCCCTGTGGGTTTCTGAGACGGCGACCCTTTCTGGGAGTAGAAAGCATCATCACATACAGTTTCTGTAGGTCAGAATTGATGACAGTAGGTTTACTGACTGAAACATCACTGGCTTGAATCCACCAGTGGCTCCATGGAAGATGACAGAGCCACAGTTCTATGTGACACACACGTGGTTGTCAGGAGTCTGCATGAACTTGGTGCAATGGGTTTAGATTTTGGGGTCATGAGCAATTGGGGGCTTACGCTGACCTACTTGGGAGAAGAGGAAAGACATCCATGCTGCTCATCTCCGTTCTTCCTTGATGAAGCCCTCCCCGCCTCATCTACATAAATGGTGAATAAACATGTAAAACTGTATGTGTGAAATGGTGCTAACGTGGACCTGCTTAAAGGATCTAATCATTAGTGTGCCCAAGGTGCTCGGGAATCTTGGTTCATCTCTGCTTACAAGTGGAACTCCAGCTCTGAATGCCAGTTTTGCCATCTACTGTATGCCCTTGAGTAAGTTACCTCTCTCATTCTCAGTATCCTTATCTACAAAATGTGGGCAATGGTACTGGTATACTAGGTTAAGAGTTGGTTAGCAGTTTGAAACCACCATCTGCTCCCTGGGGAAAAGACCAGGCTTTCTAATCCTGTAAAGATGTACAGCTTCAGAAACCCCCATGGGAAGCTCTCCCCTATAATAATATTCTCTTTAGACAACCAGTACCTTTTTTCTCAGAGAAAAAGTAATGGTTTAGTGTGTGTGTGTGCACATGATGCACGAACCCTGACTGAAGAGATATAAAGTCTTGTGAGTATGTGAGAACATCTTAGAAAATTCCAAGGATGGAAACCCTAACAGACCACAGGGGCCCCTAAACCTGGCACCATTCTATGTTCAGGTGGAGCCCCTGAGAGTCATCAGGATTAACTCCAGAGACTCCCCATCACACCTGCAATGGCCTCCCTTCCAAGTAACAGGACTGGGCTCCAGACCAGCTTGATGGGAAAATTGCCTCCCTCAAAAATCAGCTCACACAGCAGTAGAGCTAAAGAAGTCACGCAGAAACAACACACCGCCTAGCGTTTTCCGACCCTTGCAGCTTTTCCTGGGGACTTGTGTACATCCAATAATACAAACACTGTTTCTTGAGCTATTCCAGTTGAGGCATTGTAAGGCTTTCCACAGGGCCACTTGTGCAACCACAGTAAGCCTCACTCCCGGGGAGGCAGGGAGTCTGTCACCCATAAACGCCACGGGCCTTGCAGCTTTCAAACCTCACATCCTTGTTGCCTACCAGATAAAGGTCACCCTTGGGGATGGACATCAAACTCAAAAGAAACTCACTGTCATCGAGTTGATTCCCCACTTTTCGCGACCCTATAGGACAGGGTAGAACTACCCCTTGGGTTTCCAATACTATAACTCTTTATGGGAATAGAAAGCTTCATCTTTCTCCCACGGAGCCGCTGGCAGTTCTGAACTGTGACCTTGCAGTCAGCAGCTCAACAGTGACCTCGGATCCTGCTACTCAGGCAGCACCAGCCTCCACGGTTTTTCTTGTTCTCGTCTACAGTCCGAGCACCAGCCGGTGACTCAACTTGGCTCTGGGCTAGGCTTCATTTAATCCGGTCCCTCAGGCTGAATGCCCTGGGCAAAATCCTCTCCGTTTATGAAGCTGTCAAATGTCACTCACTTGGTGAAACTCCACCTCCAACCTTCCAGGCAGAAGCTGTTCATCTCAAGCCTCTCCTCTTTTGCTGAACGCAGTTAGAACATCACACTGTCCTGTTGGAAACCATGCAGGCCTGACTGTTCCTAACAGGGCTGTCTTAGCCACTGCCTGAGCCGAGTCAGTTAGGCCCGCTGTGGCACCGAACTGTCCCCAGCGCAATGTTGCTCACACCGTGTCACAGCTGCTTGGTTTACTGTTATTCTCCTAGTGGAGGGGGTTTTCAACCTTGGCATTTTGGGCATTTGGGCGGATCCTTTGTATGAAGGCTGCCCTGAGTCTTGTAGGATATTCCACATCATCTCTGACTTCTCCCTGTTAGATGCCAATTGCATCTAACATCTGTCCCACCCCAGTTGGATGACCAAACAGGACACCGGTTTCCCTATTGTTCTTTTATGCTGTTGAGGCAATCTTCATCTCCCAGTGACCCCACGTGACGGAGAAGCCCTGTTCTAAAGAGTTTCCTAGGTTTTAATCTGTCCAGGAGCGGGCTGCGGTGGAGCAGCTGGCTGGGTTAAAATGGATACAGCACCTAACCTTTCCCCACTAGGACTCCTTCCAAACTCCAAACCTGCTGCCATGGAGTCAGCTCTGACTCACAGCAATCCTGTCGGACAGGGTGGAACTGCCCCTTTGTGTTTCTGAGACTGTAACTCTCCTCCACAGGAGTAGAGAGCTCGTGGGTTCGAACTGAGGGTCTTGTAGTTAGGAGCCCAGTGAGTGGCCCACTATGCTGACAGGGCTCCAAAGGCCAGGAAGGACCCGCATCAATAGTAAGCCTGCTGACAGTGGTATCCCTGGTTCCATGCCTGACCCATAGGAGCCACTAGAATTTTCCATGGCTGAATCTGCAGCACTTGAATCTGGAAAGCATCCATCTATAGTCAGTGAAGGAAGCATCTTATCTACCATGTACTAAAAGGGGCCTGAGATGCGACCTTTTGACATTCACAGAAATACAACTGTTAACAGCTAGAGTGTGTGTGCGGTCATTTGCTTCTCCAAAACCCAAAGCCACACTCATTGGCATCAAGTCGATGCTGACTCACAGTCTGTGAGACAGTCTGTCCTGACTGACCGTCCAGGACAAGTTAGACCTGCCCCTTTGGGTTTCCAAGACTAGAACTCTTTATGGGAGTAGAAAGCTCCGTCTTTCTCCTGAGGTGAGAGTGGTGCTTTCGAACTGCTGACTTTGCAGGTAGCAGCTCAATGCAGAATCACTAGGGCTCCTCATTTGCTTCTCCGAGGCTGCTTATATACTTCCGATGGCAATATTGGCATCCCTCCTGCAAGGCGCCCAGCAGGTGGCCATGTAGCCTCCTTGCCATCAATACCTTCAGTGAGGAGCAGTGACTTTTCATACCACAGCCCGGTCCATTTTGACCTTGGGCTGTAAGACATCTTTCTTATGCTAAGCCCAAGCTTGCGTTACTCTTGCCTTAGCTCAGCCAAGGGCAGCCTCTCTCCAGGCTGCCAAGTCCTCTCCACTCACTGACTGTACATCAATGTGTTTGCTGCTATGGGGTACACTGAG